TTGTTCCATGTCCAGAAAAGAAATGGATTTGAGAACCTTGCTGATCATGTGGGGCCAGATGTACTCAATGAGCTGAGTACTTAACTGCTCGAGTGGTGAGTGTTGGGTGCGCCCTGCGACAAAAGAAGGGCTGGAAACAGAAGGTACTGCGAAGGCACTGAGCAGGCCGGTTCCAGGTGAAAGCTTAGAGAGCATGGCACATTGCAATTCTTATTTTGGGCTAGATAGCAGGAAGACGATTGTTGGGACTGAGGTCTTGATTCTTTGGCTTTGCGATTGACTTTGCACGTTTTTGAACCTGCACATATTCCAACAAATTGCACTTCTGAGGTCTTTTCGGTTTCGAAAGTTCAACATCCAACCTGTTGAGTTTGAACCCGCTGGTTGGGCAGTACATCAACTGTCTGGGATGTTGAGTTGGATGTTGAACCTGTCTTTTTCAACCCATCGAACCGGCTGGATCGAACGGTCGCCAACGATCCGCGTGACCCGACGATCCTCGTGACCTCGTGACGAATTCGATGAGCATGACGGATGTGGGGCACCTGCGTGCCCCTTGTTTTCAGAAAGAGACGTAGACCTGACTTGAAGCATGTTCCTACTCTTTCAGAGTCCTTACTGACCCTGCCTAGCAATTCTTTTGGATTCTTTCTTTTTTCTTTTGGACTATAGAGTACTAGTGGACTATGGTTATATGGTTATAGTGCACCTCGTGGCATCAAAAGGTTGGGGTCTGCTCGCTTGTGATGTTTAGAGATGCATGGAGACGTTCTAGTTGTCAAATCTCTGCCCAGTGAGACGTGTGCAGGGTCTGACCCTGCAGCCTTGCAGCCAGCCAATTTTCCGTAGCTTCTTAGGGCTCCAGACACTAGAGGACAGACCCTTGAGCTTTTTGGAAGGCGGCTTGGGCCGGAGTGTCTCATCGGGCTGACACTCGGTGAAGCTTTGCGAGTGCCGTGGAGCATGTCTTGGTCGTAAGAGGACTGTGGCCCACATGGCGAACCTTTTTGAAAGGCATGTCACCCCCGAAGTAAAGCATGTCACCATGTTGTTTCCAAGCAGGGGGAACACATAATGACATGCCCCAGCAGCTCATACAGCAAGGATTGGTTTTGGCTCGCCCAACTTCTCTCCTGGCAGGGGCGAGCGCGAGCACCACGCATCATGCCGCACCTTGAAACGGAGATGAAGCTGGATTTTAAGGTGCACGGCAGTGCAGGGCAGAGTGGTGCAGCAAAGTGTCGAAAGGAATTCCGTGGTCCGGGACAGCAACGAAAGGGTGACGTTTTGCTCTATTTCTTTTCCAAAGACATTAAAAGCTAAAGGAGTTGCGTAAAATATCGATTGGTAAAGAAGAACAATTTTCAGTTGGAGGCCATCGCTATTAGGTTGGAGGCCATCGCTATAGGAAGAAGAAGAAGAACAACACATTTATTGGCTGGTCACCATCTGCTCGGTGCAGAAAAAAGGCTCTGCGCCGCGACGAGCAGGACGTGCTGATCCGACCGAAACGATCAGCGCTCTCCAGCCGTGCTCAGGCCCGGTGGGGGAGGGCCAAGGTAGACAAGGCCATCAGAGGCCATCAGGTAGGGCCAACTAACTCGGCTTTCTTTTCGGCTGACATGATATCCGGTTTTGCTGCATGCTTCAGGAGCATAAAGGACAAGTTCTGGTTGATGTATTCTTGCGTGGGATTATCCGTCAAAGCAGTTTGTTGTTTTCCATTTTCTGGAAGCATCAGGAGCAACGGCAAGCTGAAGCTGCAGAACATCTTGCTCTCAAGCTTGACGTATTCAGTGCATGTAAGTGCTATAGTCTCTGCTAGTGTTGAAGTACCTCCTTTCGGTTGTGTTCTACTCTCGAGGTCTCCATCGACAGGGAGTTTGTGTTTCCCAACTCCAAGCAGGCGCGGTTTCGGGCGCAGTTTCGCTGTGCAGAGCACGTTGAATACGAGCTGAGTATGGTGGTTTCTGGCAATCAACTTGAGCCAGCAGGGAGTTCTTATGCCGCTTTAGTGCTTCGTTCTCCAGAAGTCAAGTTGCTTTGTGTGTGGGAAATACGTGTTCGGAGTAGATCCACATCCACTGATCTCGTGTTCGGCATCTAAATCACTCCGAACGAGAATGCCTTGGTATGAGGGTTGGTCATGAATCTAGGAACCAAACCATTGGTGCCAGCGTGAGCTATCCTGCGTCCATATGTAGTAGCTACCTCCCTTGCTTGATTAAGTAGGCGCCTACTTAATTAAGTATAGGGACGGGGGGGAGCAGGCAAAAAAAGGAGGTTGGTTGTGAACCTGAGGAAACTCCCAACTGGTCGATCCAATCCAAAGGAAGGTGCTCACCAACAGGCCTTTTCCGCTATGAGAACAAGTCATGTCCCAAAGAGATCGTCGAAACCCAACGAAAGCGAAACGCCCGTTCCGACATCCCGGGCTGACGCTGGAAACAACGCTGCTTTCTCAGATGGTTCTTCCGGAATGCCCTGACCAACGCTTCGGAGCCTTTGACGGCGAGAAAATTTGGTGGCATGGGGTGAAATGTAAACCCTGTGAAGCGTTCCTCCTTCGTCTCTACTTTCACTGTCCTTCACTTTGAGACTAAGCGGCTTCCAGCAAACCGCCCACCTAGAAGGGACATCAGAGACTTCATTAGTTGAGATTTCGATATTTTGTCATTGAGCTGTTGATCGCCACACCTACGTGGCATCCACTTGCTGCCGTTGTTTTTCACTATGCCACGCCTCTCATTGAGAAGCGACATCGGATCCTTCGCCCATCATCCGCCACGGATCGCATCCTGTTCTCCAAACAACATTGGCTGTGAGTCAAAACCTGGTCAGCCCCAAACCCTGGTAGGTTGACCATGCTTGACCTGTGTTCAGGTCAACGAAGGTCTCTTGTTTTGACCCAGGTCGACATCGGGTCCGTCGACCGTCCACCTGTCCAGGTCTGGACAGGGACGCCCATCATTGCAGCCAACATGGACACCGTGGGCACCTTTGAGGCGGACGGACGGACCCCGGGGGGGATCATTCCGGAGAGGGGGTTCGGGGTTCAGGTCCTTGTTGTGCTAAACCAGAGCCCTTTGTTGTGGTCTTGCTGCGGTTTCGAGGTGTTTGCCCAAGAGGAAAGGTGTTTGTGTAAGGGATGCCTGTCTTCCAGACCAGTAAGGGTGCTCAAGCATGATTTCCTTTTGTTTTCCTTTCGTTCTTCAGACCTTTCTTCTCTTTCTTTATCCCCACCTGCCAGGTGAGGGTTGTTAGATCTCGTGCTCCAGAACCTCAACTGCAAGCTCCCGATCGCAGTAGACACTGCCAGACCTCAACCGCAAGCTCCTGATCGCAGTGGGCACTGCCGGACCTCACTTGCAGAAGATATGCCAGAAAGAATGTCAGAAGGAATGCCAGAAAGAATGTCAGACATATTGGACATATGCCAGAAGTATGCCAGATAGAATAGATGGAATGCTGGAACGAATGCTAGAATACATATATATATATATATAGTAGATAGAACCCCGGACCGAGTGTCAGAAAATATGCAAAATAGAGCGCCATAATATACGCCAGATAGAAGGCCAGAATAGGCCAGACAGAATGCCAACATATTGGCCAAGTAGAATGCCAGAATATGTCAGATAGAATGCCAGAATATAACCACATAGAATGCCAGAACATCACATACTAGATAGAATGCCAGAAATATGCCAGATAGAATGCCATAATTTTTGTCAGTAAATATTCATGGCACACATTTTCTTGGTGATTTTGAAGCAATATAGCCGTCCGTTGTCAGCAGAGTATACTGTCATGGTGGGGATCACCCCAAGTAAAGTAAGTGTTCTTTCTTTCTGCTTTTCTTTTTATCAACCCTTTTTACAACCGTTCTTCCTTTTGTTTTTCTGCTTTCTTTAGGCCTTTCCTCACTTTCTTTAAGGACTTCTTTCTTTTCTTATTTTGTCTTTCTTAGACCTTTCTGCCAGTTGTTCATACGTTTTCTTTTAAGATTATTTTTTCTTTGGACATTTTTTTTCTACTCTTGTTTTTTGCTTGTTTGTTTGTTCATTGTTATTACTCTTCCTTTTGTCTTTAGACCTTTAGTTTATTCTTTTCTATTTTTTTGTTTTTTGGTTTCTTTCTATCTTTTGATATTTTTGTTTCTTTTCTTTATTTTTATCTGTTCTTATAAGGCTCCAGTCTTCCACCACTCCCCCATCTCTTCGTCAAACCCTAATGGGGTGCAGACTGCGCAAATGCGCAGGTCGCTGCAGTACTGGCCAAGCGAAAATGTGTGGGGCACAGGGGAGTTGCGGGTCATTACTTGCAAATTGAGCTACTAGGGGCTCCTGGCATCGCTCCTAGGAGCAAGGACGCTACTAGGGGCTCCTGGCCTTACTACTAGTAACAAGAAGCTACTAGGGGAGTTGTTCTGTTCTTTAGTGTTGCGGGCGGAGAAGCAGAAGAACGTATACTCTGGAGTCTCTGGAGGTGGAACATCGTCCCAGAAAACTGTGTTAGTTTTTTAGAAAATTCTTATTGCTACTACTAGCACTTGTCACTAGTAGCGATGCACTTGTTTCTACTAGCTTCTTGTTACTAGTAGTAAGGCACTTGTTACTGTGTATTTTTGAAGACACATGTTGGTAGGCCAACAGTTCGAAAATCTGGTTCTTCTACCATCAACACCCAACAAAATGTTGTGGGGGATGTTTTTTTTTTGGGTCGATGTTCATTTTTTGGAGTTTTGTTCAGAACACCAACGTCCGAGGCATTATTCTTGGCTCAAGTATGAACGCTGCTCTGACCTTTGGTACTGGTTGGCAAAACTTGCGACATGACACTCCCGGCTGGGATGACCACAGAGTGCTTCAGTGCTTGGTTAGCAAGTCTTGGGATGACCATGAAAAAACCACAGCCCTCAAAGCGTGACCATCAATCCCGACGGAAGTTCAGAGTGCAGCATCAATCGAAAACACATGTTTTTCCCCACAAACTCCACGGCCAACTTCGGCGCCCTCATCGACTCTCCCGACCGATGGCATGGGACAGCGTGAAAAGCTACAAGTCTGCAGCCTGGTGGTTTTGCAGTTCTTCTCCGGCTTTGCCTGGGCCGTACAGCGGCCGCAAGGCTTCTTCGTCGTGGCTTGGATCCACATGATTGAAACATGATGCCGATGAAGATCGGGGTGCTCTTGCCGTTCTTGGTGGATTTGGGTGGAAGATCGGGGGGGTACTGGTCAATGTGGCTGTATGTTGTATCCTCCAAAACTGGAGAGCTAGCTTGGTGAATTGTTCAAGTTTTGAAACCTTTGCATCGTTGAAGAACTTGCTATAGCAGTTCCCGAGGTGCTGTTGGAGCAGCATGGTTTTTCAGGCCACTTGGCACGGGGTGAAGAAAGCAATGTTGGCCTGGTTTTCAGAACCCATGTCTTTTGCTTTTCAGTCTCCAAGCTTGCTAGTAGGTTGGATGGAGGCCATCGCTAGCAGGTTGGAGGCCATCGCAATGAGGTTGCAACCCAGGCCATGAAAACATCGGTCTCAGGAACCTTCCGTCAACGATGCCTCGATGCCTGCGGTGACCTGCGGTGACCTGCGGTCCGGACAGGATCGAACGCGCGAAGATATGGAATCCCCAGGTATATTTGAATGCAGAAGCGGAAAACATTACTTGCATGATGCATTCATACTTTGTGTGAGGGCAAAGCTGGTCCTAGTGTGAGGGACAAATAAACAGGGCTCGACATTGTTCCGGTCCATTTTGTCGAGGGGCCTACGGGCAAACACAGGTGGTTTCGGAACCAGGCTTGCTCTAGATCCAGTCAGGCTTAACATCACCAAACCAGAAGAAGAAGAAGAAGAAGAAGAAGAAGAACAAGAAGAACAAGAAGAAGTAGAAGTAGAGTAGAAGTAGAGATAAGCCGAGATGGCTCACCGTTGAAGACCCCCCCACACCTCACAGGAGAGGAAGGACATGGCTTGCAGAAGAAAGACCAACAATGACAAACACCTCACTTTATTGCATGCTGATTCCCAACCAAAAGCGGAAAGAACATGTATCAGCGTTTCTAAGAACCGCCTGAAGACAAATCCATAAACCTTTGTTCCGTTCGTAGCGTTCTTCTTCCTAGTAGCAAGGGCGTTCTTGTTCCGATCTCCACCTCGCGGTGATCTCACACTTTCAGGGTCTGCCATCGGCTTGATCAGTTCCTTGGGCTTGTTCACCCCGACCCTGACTGGGCCTCTGGTGGGCTTCGCTGCCGACGCGCTGGCGCCCGAGCAGCGGCACCGGCTCTTCGCGGGTGTGGCGCTTCTGTGGCACGGCCTGCGTTGGTTGGGGAAGAAAGGGTTGGAAAAACTACAGATGGAAGATGCTTCTTTTTTCCGGTCCAAACACGAAATCTAGACATCGGAAGGCCTGGTGAATTCTGACCGCTTTTTTGAGCTCCCTGCGGATTCCAACCCATCCGAACTGATCCCACAGCCACCCCGCAGCTGCGGCCGCACAAGGGCACAAAGAAAGATCACTGCAAATCCATTGAGAGCATCCCCTCCTTAAGTTCAGAGCCATCTACTCAAATTGGGGGTGTGTTTGGAAGATGGAACTTCTCTACCAGATATCCGGTACATATGTTAGAGAGGTTGGGATCTTGGACTGATGGCTTAGGTGCCTTTGGATTTGAGCCGTGGATCCACAAACTTCGCTCCGAAAAACCCAACGAACAAAAAGACAGAAGAAACGAACAAAACCAACGGCAGCCACGATCGTGTTCTTGTTTTCTTTTTCGGGAAGGAATGATTTGTTTCACGCAGATCTTGCAGATTCGATTGCTGTGGCTGGGCAATGGCTAGTTGCTGTCTGCTCGGCCCTCGGACTGGGAGACGCGGCGGCGCATCGGGTCTGAGGAAATCGACATTGCAGCTGGCTGCGTGGCCAGCGCTGGCAGATGCCCCAAGCAGCAGGGCATACTGGTGGATCTTCAGTTGCATGTGTTTGCAGGCTGGAGATGCACAAAGATCTACACCTCCTGAAAGATCTAATTCATTCTTTGGGTTGTGGAGAGATTGCGATATCTAGCGGCAAGAGGAGGCTCTGTTTGGGATGCATGCAGATTGCATGTAGAACTGCTCATCCAACACGAATATCCCGGAAGGAAGAGAACATGGAATGAGATCAAACACATTCAAACACCACATTTTGAGACGGCTCTAGAGATGTTCGATGGCCTCACTGGAGGAAGCAGCACATGCCCTTCTTGTGCAGGCAGCCTGTTCCCAGGGAGGAATGCTCACAGAGATCACGCTCCGATTTGTTGGAAAGGAGACCTATGGGAAGGCTGGGCGGGGAGGCTCTACCTGGTGGCAGGAGGCTCCACCTGAGTTTGGAGGTCGCTTATTGATGATTTGGGATTGTTAGTAGCGACCAAAGAAGAGACTGGTGACTGGAAGAGTAGGGAGATTGTTTCGCCCAGTTGGAAGTCCCTGTGGTTCCTCATGTTTTCATTTTTTTTGCGGTGTAGTTTTTTGCAACCGCTTTACTATGTTTCACTCGATTTTGCATGCCAATGGCCTTTAGTTATGCATGAGTGCGCGTCCCACACACACGTAGCTCCAAGCAACACACTTGTGGCTCTTGGCTTGGACGGTGACAAATCTTGACTCAGACCCAATTCTTGCTGTCAAGAGGGCTAAATGCTCGACTTCAAATGAAGAATGCACGTGATCGACATATAATGCAAGACTCTAGACCCTTGATGAGTAACCCCCCCCCATGGGAAATCTTCTTCATTTGGGCGGTTTATCAATGTGAAGGTGCGCCTTTGGGGTGGCATCGGCTTTGCCTCCGGCTCGCTGCTGACGGGGCTCCTGGCACATCACCTCGGTGGCTCGGATCCAAAACGGTGAACCAGAGGTGAACCAGAAAGGGTGCTGCTAGTAGCGATGCCAGGAGCCCCTAGTAGCATCCTTGCTCCTAGTAGTAAGGCCAGGAGCCCCTAGTAGCTTCTTGTTACTAGTAGAAAGAATGCTACTAGTAGCGATGCCCGGGTTCCTGTAGTAGCTATTTGCTCCTAGGAGTAAGGCCAGGAGCCCCGTTCTTAGCGTCCAATCGCTCCGTTCGTAGCGATGCCAGAGGTGAACCAGAGCTGCTGTGCCCAAAGGTCACTGGAGTGTATACGCTCTCGCTGTAAGCTCCTTCATTCTTCTCGCTCCTCATTCCTGTCAACATCGATCAACTAGTTACGGGGTTAGGGCACCTACTAGCGATGGCCTCCAACCTACTAGCAATGACCTCTAACCTACTAGCAAAGGCCTTTAACCTACTAGCAGAGGCCTCTGGTCGTATACATGTCGTATATAATTTCATGTTTTTGGTCTTCGATCATCCTTTTTCGACTCCATTTGGTCCTTCGATGGTTCCATTGACCCTTCCCACTGCGTCACCAAGCTGTGCATTTCCTTGCCAGAACTGGAGTAGCGTCCTTTTGTTCCTAGTAGCGATGCCAGGAGCCTATAGTATAATTTAGCTTTTTGTGTTTCAACTTTGCTTTCCTTTGATCGGTTTCAACTTGAGCCCAGATGCCAATTCGCTCAGATGCCATTCTTCGGCACAATTCCGCGCATCGGAGCGCTCGAATTTGTACTGGGCAGACAGGGAGGGTTGCCGTGCATCTCAACATGTTCTGCCGGTCACCAACCTCTTGTTATGCAGATTCTATAAGAGCCAGTTCCGATGTGTTGCAATTATCCTTGAAACCTCTTTGTTCACCACACATGTCCAGCACCGAGCATTACAAAAGGCAAGGTCTATCCCATGAATTTGCAGTGCAAGATTTCTGTTTGTGTTTGCAAAGATATCAACCCGCCAAGAGTTGGCAACAGCGAACTTCCAGGCTACAGCATCGTTTTCCTCGAGAGCATGTTCGTGGGTGTGGCCTTGGCAACGTCCGTCACTTGATCTCACTTGAGTCTCGGAAGGCCGCTGGCCGCTGGTGTTTTACATGGGGCAACCACCAGCACAACCAAAACCATGGCAACCACCTGCTTCGCCAGTGGCGAGTGACGTGGAGCCATGCGGGCGAGTTGGGCGGACGATGCGAATCGCCCCCGCGACGTCTCGAGGGATCGGAGCGCCGTCTCGAAGGGACCCGCCGAACGGGCCGAAGCACGTTGGTGAGGCTAGTTTCGACAAAAGTAGCTACTATAGGACCAGGAGCTATATATACTAGGAACAAGGACGCTACGTTCGGGGCTCCTGGCCTTACTACTAGGAACAAGAAGCTACTAGGAACAAGGGCATCCCATCGCAGACTCCCCGAGTGACCGCGAAGACGCGGACGTAGACGGACGTCGTGATCCATTCCAAGCCCAGGGATTTGGGCTGATTCCCTTGAGTGGCTTCTTGCTACTAGTAGCTTCTTGCTACTAGTAGCGATGTACTTGTTTCTAGTAGCTTCTTGCTACTACACTTCCCTAGACTTTATCATGGGACAGATCGGTATGACTGTATGACTCAACATTATGAGGACTCCCGAAAAGAAGACCTTTTATGCTAAAAGGATCACTAGCAAAAGCCAATTTCACCCAAACTCCCAACCCCACTTGAACACTCCCGAAACAACAGCTCATTTGCAGCTTTGATCACTTGTTGTTTGGGGGCGCCAACGGGAGAAACACTCGCTTTCGACCAAGCGCCCTGACCCGACGCCAGGTCTTCTGCCTAGCTCACGCCTCCGTCTCAGCCGCTCCGGGCTCGGAGATGCTCCATGTGGCGGCTCCGTCGGAGCCAACGTCGGAGCGGTCCAGGAGCCGACCGGTACCGTTTGGGGCTGACCCCAAACTCGCTTGGTGGAAGAGTATATGACCCCAATTTCTAGTGAACAGTTAGTAGCTGGAAGAATTCTCAGTCCAAACCACGATTCTGTTGGGTGTGGTGGTTCATAATCTTGTTTTTTTTCCCAACTGAGGAGACCGTCGACCAAAGAACTCCTGAGATTTCTCCTGACTCCTCGCGTGGCGGTGATGCTGATCATTGTGGTAGCGATGGGATTCTGTGAGGGCATCATGTCACTGGGCTGCGGCAAATCATGTCCTCCTACAACAGATGGCCTCCGACCTGTATAATAGGAGTGGCCTCCAACCTACTGCGATAGCCTCCAACCTATAATGTCGATATTGTAGCCAGCCTACTCCAGGCTAGGCTGAAGTGATTTTCAAAGTAGGTCTGGAGGGAGGTGCAGTAAAGTGCGGTGCGGTCATGTAGATAATATTGTATGAAACGCTTTTTAAAACCTGTCAACTGGACTCGAAAAAGAGAGCGAGTGTACTGGTTGCGTCCAACCCAGTCCCAGGCAGACCTACACCTATGTCCGTCTCCAAGAACTTCCTTATGGATCCTCAACAATCATGAGCTTGAGCGCTGTATGCATGATCATCTCGGAAGCACCCCGGCTGCCGTTTTTCCTGTCATCACGTGGTCGTTTTGTTTGGCACACTAGGGCAACCCTTCTGCCCGAAAAGAAAAACACACAAATGTGTTTGAAGAGTGTTTCAAGCAGGGTTCTGTATTGAAGTGGAAGAAAAGGGTCTTGGATAGAGACTGCAATGTTGTTTCCAAAGTGATTTCGTTCGGAGAATCGGACACCACGTCCGATCACCAGGTCGAAAACCAGCAGATCCCATGGTGCCATCGCTGATCCCATCGGTGCTCAGGTGCCGTTCTTCTATTTTGCCGATCCCATCGTCCGACGCTTTGGGATCATGCCTCTTGGAGAGAGCACAAAGGGTGTGAAGGGAACGAAGGGAAAATCCAGGGAACATCCAGGAACTGAGATGAGGTGCTGACTTCCAGGTCCACTACTCTTGCTTTCTCTCTCTCTCTCTTTTAGTGTATGATCTGGCTCCATCGCTATTAGGTGGAGGCCAATACTACTAGTAGCAAGAAGCTACTTGTAACAAAGGCTTCTAGGTTGGAGGCCATTGCTATTATACAATAGGTCTAGCTCTCTCTCTCTCTCTCTCTCCCATTTAAAGTGCGTATGATCTGGTTCCAGAAATTTAAGATATACCTCTTTTCACAGTATATCAACCGACTCTGCCCTGCTGTGCAGGCCCATCTTGAGCTTCTCCCTTCTGTGCTCCGCCCTACGGCAGGCCGATTCTGTCCTTTTACAGTTCTCCATTTGAGGTGGTCACCTGGTTTCAATGCACAAGAACGGTGGAGTGACTCAAAACATGTCCATGTTGTTTGAATCTTTTTGAATCCAGGACTCCAATTATAGGCTACATCATGCCCTGGCAGCTCCACTGGCAGCTCCTTTTTGGCCATTTGAACATGGACGAAGAACTTCAGCCCTGCCAGGGCTGGATCTCCTTCCTTTGGGATGCTCGTTGGGTTCTTCCAGGCCCGGGGCGGCGCGGGCGGTCCAGCTACCTGGCGCGGTGACGCTGGGGACGGAGAGAAGCTGAGCATGTGTAGGCTTCTTCATTGCAGTCAGAAGGCTTCTGAGAAGCTGATGCTTCTCTGACGGTACTTTTGGGCAGCTCGAATAATTAGCCTCCAGCTGCACGCTTTGTTGGACCTATAGGCTGATTCATTGGTTCATACAACAAGATTGAGGCAAATATTGGAAACAGCCTCTACCATGAAAATCAACCACTTGCAATCAATTTGATCATTCGGATTTCGACTTGTTTTGACCAACAGATTTTGACATGTTTGGGCACCTGCCCTGACTGGGGCATCACCCAGTCGCGATGGTGTGACCTTGTGGCTTGGTCCAATGGTCCCACTGTCGTGTCCCACCAACCCGAAGGGCCCGAATCCTGCGGTCATTCCCCAGATTCTGCGAGCTATTGGGGTTCTTACTTCAAGTATAGGGCCGCGGCAGTGTGCTGGGGTTTATGCTAGCGTAATTGTTGCTACACATGGCGAGTCGCCTTGGGCATTTCAACCCACCTGCGTCACGGACCCTAGCCGCCGCCTGTCGCGTCGTCCGAAGATCGGGGGCAGTGTCGTCACACTATGCGAACGTCCGCTGCCAAGGTCAGTACCTGCTCAGGTTAGACTCCCCACAACTACTTGGGCTCACGGACAGACATACTCAGCTCAATTATGCGTTTACACCTGGGTCTTGTGCCGGTGGCGGAACAAGAAGAAAAACAGGGATCAACCTGCAAGCCACTTGTAGACCGAACTTGGACTTCCGAACCCAGCGTGGGAGACCGCGCAGGCGAACTGCTTCATGGCATCACCTTCTCCATTGCCAATGCGGCAGTGACCTTGAGCGTGCCTAGGTGGCACTGCTGATCTGAAACCATTGACTCTCGGAGTTGAGGATCAAAGCGATTTCTGTTTCACTCAGAGTGGGCTTTGAATCAATGCTATTGGAGGTTGGATTTTGGAGCCACAAAGGGTCCGGATATGTGCCGAAATCATGGGGAGGATGTAGGGAGCTACTCTCTCCAGCCGTTCGCGGCTTGGAACGCCGAATCCCACGCTGCACGCCTCGGCGACTCGGCACCGGACGCGGCATCGGACGCGGTGAGGCTCATGACCTCGCGGCGGGCACGCGCTTCGAGACGACGATGCAGTCAGTCATCGGCAGCTGTTGGGTGGGCATCGGCCAGGGCAGTGCCTCCTGGGCGGGTGGACTGGTCTTGCACCACGCGGGGCCTGTGGCGCTCTTTCAGGCCTAAGATGGTGATCTATAAGAGTCTAAGAAGGTGGTGGTTAAAGCCGTGGTACTCGAAGGATGTCATGTTTTCCAAGCAGAAACCAGCTTGAGCCTTCCGCTGTCTCCCCTGCGAGGCCTCTGCCTTGCTGGCACTTGTCTCATCCCTCTTGCCGCTGGGCCTGGCTCTTTGCGACCGCCAGCGGCCACGCTGCGACGCGGCGTAGACGATCGACGGCCGGAAGCCGCGGGGCTTCGGCGGCCACCACGCTGCACGCCGTGACCGTGCGGCCGCGGTGAAGGACGACAGGTCCATTTTGGTCGGTGAAGACCCAACGGTCAACGGAGGACTTCTGAACCGCCGAGTCGGCGGAGGCTGGGACGCTGTGGATCGGACGCTGGATCGGCCGTCCGATCGGCTAGCGCGGGCTGCTGCAGAAGCCGTGGTGGAAAACATGGAGTGAGGAGTGTTGTGAAATGAGGTAGAGCTATTCTTTGTTTGAGATGCACAGGATAGGCTTGCCTTGGAACCGTCCTGACCTGCCATGCAGGTATGCCAACTCCCGCTGACCCTTGATCGATCTTGAAAACTTACGAAACTAGCTGTCCAGACACCAAAGGGTCGGGATATCACATCCCCAAAAGAGCGACCCTGTTTTTGAGCAAGAGAAGAACCACATCATGCCCCATCGGTGTGTTCACTATGGTGTCAACATGGGAGAACGTGTGGGAGAACGTGTGGTGCGTCACGTCACGTCACGTGTGGTGCGCCGAACACCGAGGCATCACAGCGATTCACAAGCACTACACCGTGGAGCAATGGAAGACGTGGGCTGAAGGCGTGGGCGTTTTCAACGATCCGATTTTCAATGGGCCGCGCACATGCTATCCAGGGAGCACCCTGTTACATGGTGATAGCATCTACCCACACGATTAGATTTGGAGAGGAGATTTCAATAAGATGTCATGTTTTTTCTCTAGATAGGTGCAAGCTATAGGGATTCTTACTTCTCAATGGTGCGGCTGGGGGGATCGCCGTTTCGTTTTGCCTTGCTGGTGCTAATGGTCCGGTGGGACTGGCGAAGCGAGGCCCTGGGAAAGAGATCCTGGGCTTCGTGGCGGTGAGCACCGGGATCCTCGACAAGGACGAACCAAAACAGACATCGACGGCCTCCACCTTACGAGCCGAGCGATGGCCTCCAACCGACTATCGATGGCCTCCAACCGACTAGCGATGGCCTCCAACGACGATCGAAGATTGGGACCGCTGTCGAAAGGCAACCAGAGCATATCGGATGGCACATCACTGGCACAGTCCCGAAGAGGAAGACAGACTCGCTAATGCCGTCCAGCATGTTTTCAGACACTGTCCATCGTGGAATGCAAACATGCAAATAGAATGGAACATGTCCATTGTGAGGTTCCAAGCTGATCTCTTGTTCAGGTCCACTCGGTTTCTGATGTCGAACTCTTTTCGCAGTCGGGAAGTCCCCCAGAGACACACCGGGCGAGTTTGAAGATGTTCCTGACCACGGTTGGGTCTTTTGTTCAGCAGCGAAAAGAGCAGTAAAAAGCGAGGACATGGAGAAGCTCGCTCAGATTCTCAAAGCCGTTGGATGCCCCAGAGCAAGAACAAAAGCGAAGTGCATGGAATGCACATGGAATGCAGGGGGGCCAGAGACCAGCATGAAGAGCTTCTTCTTCCAGACTTTCTGGTAGGGAACTAGTCCAAATATGTTTGTCTTTGCAAATTCCCCCCTCAGTAACACGAATTGAGATGGCCACTTCAAACACCATAAGCAGACAAGAGGACGTCCTGGCCTTTGGAGGACATGAGTTGTTTTCTCCATGTCTAAGGTCTCAACTCTGTGTTTTCGAAATCAACATCCCTTTCAGCCGGTCTTCTGAGATCTCAAGTTTGAAATTAGAAAACACTTGCAACAAATCCAATTTAATCCGCACCTTCCAAGTCCATTTTTTTTTTGGCACCCTGAATCACCTCTAAGAGGCTATTTATAGACACCCCGGAGAGACGGGTCCAACCTAAAGTAGTCAGCTGACCTGATGGACAAGTCGACTCCATGGTTTTTAGGCGCCCGCAGGAAGGACACCTTTTCTGGTGCGTTCGTCAGGGCATCGCTGGCCACAGACTGATGTTCACTGACGACATGGATCCTCCCAACTGCTTGTGAGTGGCGACCCCGACTGTGCCTGCTGTAGGAGTGGGGTCGTGCTTGGTTGAGATCTTGGCCACAAGATACTAGAACCATCTAGAACCGCTTACAATATCTCCCAGAGGCTCATGGACCCTCAAAGTGCTACATGTTTCAAGGCCCAGAATCCCTAGAGTTGTCAAAAACCCCAAGGGTCACGAGCGTTTGGGCTTGACTCGATGCCGTCGTTTTGCCTCTAAGTTGCTTCAAGCAAAGGCCTCAAAGAAGATGCCCCCGCCTTTGGGGCCCTTTCTTGAGCCGGTCGCTGCGAGACTCTCCAGCTGCCTTGCTGCGAGCAGCGGTTGTTCACCGCTTACCCACCGCCCACCTGGAGCGACCGCATGCTTCGACCAGGTGCCAGGTGTGAACATGATCTGCATCGACGTGGCCAACGGCTACTCCGAGGCGCGTGATGACCATCTCAATACCGCCCAAACCGATGCGGCATCACGCGCGGTTGGTCGAAGAATGTGTTTGTCTTGGTTTGGCTTGGTTCCGACTCCGAAACATGGCCACATCAAGAATATGGTTCGGTGGCTTGGGCTAACCGGCTAACCACCCAGACAGGCTTTGCGAAGAAACAAACACCGGTGCACCCTCCAACAAGATCCAACGAATTAAGTGTATGAAGAGAGTAAAGAGCGGCCTATATGGGGAAACAGTGTCTTCACGGATCTTCTAATTGTTGTTTTCTGGGTTTGGCCTGGAAGTGACTTGGATGGGTGGGCTAGATGGCGCTCTCCACAAACTCTGGACTGGGCCGTGTACTTTGAAACGACCACCTACCGGAACCTACCGGAATCCCAGCTGAAACGACCCTCCGGTCCGGAGCGCGTGCGCCCGCGCGTGCGGCCACGTCGAGGCCTTCGTGCAATGCATCAGAGAAGTGCGAAAGACCTACCCCAAGGCCAGTGGATCGGTGGATCGATGCTTTTTCTCGTCGGGTTCGATGCCACCTTCGATGTGTGTGGTACGAGAAGGTGTCGCTGTGTCAGGCCCCCCCGAGATCCCCACAGACGCTGCGAGGCTGAGGTGATGGTTCATCATGTTCATACTCGTCATGATGCCCAAAAGGAGAGTGATATTGATGCAGAGAGTCTGAGTCACTGGTGGTGAGTCCATTTGGCTCGGAAAATTGATGACCAACTTCGCGGTGTGCCGCCCTCGGAGGTGACCATCATGGCAGGGAATGTGGTGACCAAGGAGATGACGGAGGAATTGATTTTCAGCGGTGCCGACGTGATCAAGGCCGTGATCTGATCAGTCGAAACGATCATGATTTCGACTTGTGAATCCTGAAAGTCCTGATGACCTGGGCACCATGCCCACACGGCGTCCGTACTCGTGGAAAAAAAAAAACTTGTGAATCCTGAAAGTCCCTCAGATGTCAAAAAGATCACATGACCCCGGCCGCCTTGAGGTGGGAATCGGCCCCGGAAGCGTGTGCACCACGCGGAAGCAGACAGGCGAGGACCCGGAACCCGGGCGAGGGTGGTGTTGCTCTGGGTGGTGTGGTGGCGAGACCTAAAGGATGTTGCTGCACGCACAGACCGTCAAAAATCTGTCAAGATGGTCCAATATGGTGCTGAAAGCACTCACAAAGGGCAGTAACACACCAGACTTCCTTATCATGCCATATCTAGGTGTTTTCTTGTGAAGGGGTCAGCACTGCTTGCCATCTCATCCCATCTTCAGGCGTCGGCTACCCACAGCTCTCTGCAGTCTTGGAATGCGCAGATGCGGCACATGGCTGTTGCCCCATCAGCGGTCTATTTGGGAATGCGTGTCGATCCATACCCGTGTTCGCAAATAACAACCCAAGGTGCGGTGATGCCAATCTTGATTGGCAGCTCTTGATGTTGAGCTTTACCTGATTGATTGCGAAGAAGTCACCAACCATGTGGAATACATACAGTCTTGTTATGTCTTGTTTGCCTTGGAGTCTTTGAGGGTGTAAGATCCAGATCAAGGGCTTTGTGAACGTGTTGGGAACTGTCCTGAGGGATCAAGCATTTGGTCTCCCCACTTGGTCCGTACTTTCGGGCTGCATTACTAGTAGCAAATAGCTACTATATCGTAGCGATGCACGTGTTACAAGCACGATGCCCCTGCTACGTTCGTAGCTTCTAGCTACTGATTGTGATTTGTTGAGGACGTGGTGGGAAGGGGGGCAAGCCCCTCTTGCCATCGCCGCTCAAACAGTTCTCCGGGGGATCCTATCAGTGACCCATGGCGGCCATTTTTTCCTGCAGAACGAAGATGGACCTCGGCCAGCAAGAGCCAAGCACGAGCCCAGCACGAGATACCGTGTTCAGATCCGTGTCGAGAATCCGACTGGGCGGTCCGAACTCTCTCAGCTGATTTGCTTCATCTTTCGCCACGACGGAGTGGGCCGACGGAGCCGGTCTTTGCGCCCAGAGCCTGAGCGGTCTCCAAGCCCGGCGATGGTCCGGAGCCTTTCGGAGTTGGACAGATGCTTGCATCCGCGGGGTCATCGCTCTCCGGATTGACGAGAACAAGGCTGAGGAGGCTTCTTTGGAGAAGGTGGGTTCGACTCAGAACACCCCGAGGCGCCTTGAAACTGCTTCTGAAGGTGCACCAGCATAGTTCTTCACCCGGTGGAAGCACTCTGTGCACGTGTTCGACTGAGCGACCACACACGTTCGCAGATCCTGGAAAACGGTGGCGAAAGCTTCGATCGAATCAAAAGAAGGTGCCGAGTCCGAAGAAGAAGATAGACCAGACACATCAGACACCAGGGAAAGAAGCCTGAGTGCATCCACCAACGGAGCGACGAAGAAGCAGTCCAGCGACAGGCAGTCCCTTCGGTGATGGTAATTTGAGGCACTTTTCATCACTTTTCTGAGCCCTCACATGTTATAAGTTACAGGGTCTTGACTTTTATGTGAGTACATCCCGTTGAAACCAACGTCGCATGCCTCATTTCCCGGACCAGCGCCAAAGGTGATGGAAGACGAGGGGGGCAGTTGCGGCGGTGTGGGCTCCATATGGGGATATGTGTTACCGAAAGAAGGGGGACGCCCCAAGTCGTGAAAGCGGAAGGATGAACCAAGACGGTCTGAAGACAAAAAGAAACCTTAAATTCACCAGTAGAGCTAGAAGCTACTAGACTAGTAGCTACTAAGTAACAAGGGCATCGCTACTAGTAACAAAGACATTGGGAACAAGAAGCTACGAACGTAGCAAAGGGCCTTACGAACGTAGCTTATCAAGTCCT